GCGGGTGCGTGTGGAAGTATCTCCAGGTGGTAGTGCCACGGCGTGCAGCAGTCAGCTGTAGCCATGGCCGCAGGTAGCTTGAGATGGAGAAGGAGGTTGGCGCACAGGGTTGGAGCAAAGCGTGCGTGCTGGACAGTGGCGCATGGACTAGAGAAGCAATGTGGCGGTGTATATTACTAGGTATCGCTCATGAGGCTCATACGGTACATTAGGTAGTGTTGCTTGTTGATAGGCCCTGTCCCCTTGCGCAGGTGTGCTTCCCTAGAGTGGCAGCGTCCACCTGCACATACATGAGCCGCCATGGCTGCCCCTGCAGGAGCAATCTCTGCTCTGCAGTGTGCGCATGTTAGCTCGCTCCTTCAGTATGCGAGGAAGGAACCTTGCAGTCTGGGCTGGGCACCTGTGGCTGCTCTAGCATCTGTTTCTATGCATTTTGTCAATATTGTTTCTCTTGCTAGTATATTATGTGTATGCACCCTGTTTTGTTTACATTGTAGTAATTAGTAGCATTTGCGTTAGAGCAACTTCACCTCCAACTGAACACTAAGCGAAAATGGGAAAGCGAAGCTGTTCAATGAACTCCAATCTCCCAAATTGGTACAGTTCAGTTATTCCGACCGAACCTCGTCTGATTTCGCACCGAGCCTCCAGTTTCCCTCCGAACATTTCAAACTTGCACTCTGACTGACACGGCAACTGCTTCGGCCAGCCAATCCCTGCTTCGCACTGATGATCCGAACCTCACCCCTTTTGAGCTCCTGCTCAATTTCATGAAATGGCTCTAGGTTTCGCAGGCCGTGAACCAAATTGGCATGAAACGAAAGTTGTCGGGATTCCGCCGCGCTGCCGCCTTCCACTTGAAGCGTTGACGGGGAATCCCACCTTGGTTTCTCCACGACGGCATCAACCAAAGGTTCTCCTCACCTCCATTCTTCGCTTCATTGCTCCACACATCCACTATCTTACAGGCCTGCCGTTTTCCTACCTCCTCTCTGAGTTCCAGGTCAACTATGTGAGCTGCTTGTCACACTAGCCTATAGTTCTCTCACGTACCTGCACTAACGTCAAGTTTGCTCACAGAACATTAGCCGCCACTGTGTGTGGCAACCGATAGCTATATGGATGCCAACTTAAGCCTAATGTAGTTAGGTCGGTGTCAAGTCGTGGCGAAGTGTGATTCCTAGATAAGAAATTATTGTAGTCAGTTACGATGGATCTGATTCCAAGCTAAGGCTAATACAACGTTAAGTTGCTGGTTCAGACGAGACGGATCGTACTTTTGTTAATTTGGATCTGATCCAATCCCAAGGCGGATACGACGTTAAGGCGTTAAGTTGCTGGTTCAGTCGGCGTTCCAGCTGAGACGAATAGAAAGCCGCCAAGGCAACGCCACGGGTACTTCAACCGTCGTTGCGACATTGCTGTGTCACGTCGCCATTGCGAAGTCGCTTATCAGACATCTCCAGTGAGCAGCAGCGTAGGAGAAAGTTTAGCGGCATTGCTGTGTCTCGTCGTCATTACAGCGTCGCTGCTGTTTACGTCATCGCGTAGGACACAGCCGCTATTTCCGCCAGAGAAGAAACGTCGTCGCTGCTTTAGACGCTGAGCTTTTCTGCTGTATCCGCCAGAATAGCAACGTCTTCGCGGCTTTAGCCGTCGACGCTGAGCTTTTCAGCTGTATCCGCCAGACTAGCAACGTCTTCGCGGCTTTAGCCGTCGCGACGTCGCTGCTGTTCCTACCATAGAAAACAATCTCGCTGCCGTTTCCGGCGTCCAAGAATTACTGATTCCGCCGTCAGAGCAACGGCGCTATTCGTCGCCAACGCACGTCGCTGCTATTTCCGCGGTCAATGCGACGTCTCTGTTGCATCGCGCGGACGTGCGAGCATCAGTGTGTTTCGATGGAGCGTCAGAGGCAACGATGCAATGTTGGTCGCGACGTGAGCAACGACTGCAGCAGCAGCAGCAGCAGCAGCAGCAGCGGCAGCAGAAGCAACAGCAGCAGCGGCAGCGGCAGCAGAAGCAACGGATTTACCTGGAGAACGGGCAGCAACAGGGCGCAGCAGTGGCAGAGCGGCGGACGGAGCGTGGTACGTGCCAGGGGTTGCTTGCAGTGGGGCAGTGAAGTGAGTCGTAGGGCGTCGCCGCGCAGAGGCAACAGTCGTGTCTGTTGCTCCACCTTTCGCCTCCTGCTGCTTCTAACCCTCCCTTGTTGCGCCGCTTCTGTGTGCCTGTCTCTCTCCCCATGCGTGTGTGTGCCTCACGGCCTGCGAGGCGGACGGGAGTGGCAGCGAGTGGACGGGGAATGGACGGGGCTGCCGTTGCTGGCTCGCACGAGAGGCAACCAGGAGCAGCACGCCTGAAGTGAAGGCATGAAGCAGGAGTGGCAGAGCGGCGGACGGAGCGTGGTACGTGCCGGGGGGTGCTGGCAGGGGGGCAGTGAAGTGAGTCGTAGGGCGTCGCCGCGCAGAGGCAACAGTCGTGTCTGTCGCTCCACCTTTCGCCTCCTGTTGTTTCTAACCCTCCCTCGTTGCTCTGCTTCTGTGTGCCTCTCTCTCTCCCCATGCGTGTGTGTGCCTCACGGCCTGCGAGGCGGACGGGAGTGGCAGCGAGTGGACGGGGAATGGACGGGGCTGCCGTTGCTGGCTCGCACGAGAGGCAACCTGGAGCAGCACGCCTGAAGTGAAGGCATGGCGCAGGAGTGGCAGAGCAGCGGACGGAGCGTGGTACGTGCCAGGGGGTTGCTTGCAGGGGGGCAGTGAAGTGAGTCGTAGGGCGTCGCCGCGCAGAGGCAACAGTCGTGTCTGTTGCTCCACCTTTCGCCTCCTGCTGCTTCTAACCCTCCCTTGTTGCGCCGCTTCTGTGTGCCTGTCTCTCTCCCCATGCGTATGTGTGCCTCACGGCCTGCGAGGCGGACGGGAGTGGCAGCGAGTGGACGGGGAATGGACGGGGCTGCCGTTGCTGGCTCGCACGAGAGGCAACCTGGAGCAGCACGCCTGAAGTGAAGGCATGGCGCAGGAGTGGCAGAGCGGCGGACGGAGCGTGGTACGTGCCAGGGGGTGCTTGCAGGGGGGCAGTGAAGTGAGTCGTAGGGCGTCGCCGCGCAGAGGCAACAGTCGTGTCTGTCGCTCCACCTTTCGCCTCCTGCTGCTTCTAACCCTCCCTTGTTGCCCCGCTTCTGTGTGCCTCTCTCTCTCCCCATGCGTGTGTGTGCCTCACGGCCTGCGAGGCGGACGGGAGTGGCAGCGAGTGGACGGGGAATGGACGGGGCTGCCGTTGCTGGCTCGCACGAGAGGCAACCTGGAGCAGCACGCCTGAAGTGAAGGCATGGCGCAGGAGTGGCAGAGCAGCGGACGGAGCGTGGTACGTGCCATTGGTTGCTTACAAGGGGGCAGTGAAGTGAGTCGTAGGGCGTCGCCCGCGCAGAGGCAACAGTCGTGTCTGTTGCTCCACCTTTCGCCTCCTGCTGCTTCTAACCCTCCCTTGTTGCGCCGCTTCTGTGTGCCTGTCTCTCTCCCCATGCGTGTGTGTGCCTCACGGCCTGCCAGGCGGACGGGAGTGGCAGCGAGTGGACGGGGAACGGACGGGGCTGCCGTTGCTGGCTCGCACGAGAGGCAACCAGGAGCAGCACGCCTGAAGTGAAGGCATGAAGCAGGAGTGGCAGAGCGGCGGACAGAGCATGGTACGTGCCAGGGGTTGCTTGCTGGGGGGCAGTGAAGTGAGTCGTAGGGCGTCGCCGCGCAGAGGCAAGAGTCGTGTCTGTTGCCCTTGCCTCCGGCACTCGCCTCCTGCTGCTTCTTACCCTCCCTTGTTGCGCTGCCTCTGTGTGACTGTCTCTCTCCCCATGCGTGTGTTTGCCTCACGGCCTGTGAGGTGGAGGGGAATGGCAGCGAGTGGACGGGGAATGGGCGGGGCTGCCGTTGCTGGCTCGCACGAGAGACAGCTGTCCAGCGAGGAGAAGAGGCAGTAACGGTGCATTGGCTTTCCAGGTATTTTCTCTTCTGTACTCTTAGTCGATCTGCCTCCATACCCTGCATGCGTGGAAGGCTGCTTACCCAGTGCAAGAGGTAAAGTGAGTGAAGATGCAGCAGCAGTGAAGATGAAGAAGTGTACTTCTTCCGTTTCATGCCTTTGTTGTACCATCTTTCCACGGTGCCGATATGTCTTTTCTACTGTACTGTGTTGCCAGATTCGCATGCCCCTTTGCTCAGCCCTCAATCCCCTCCTTTCTGCCCGCTCCCCTTATCTTCTCTCCTCTCCTCCATCACCGGAAGGGAAAAAACTTTCATCCAGCACCATTAGTATGGGCAGCAACGGTGGCAGCAGCAGCAGCAGTGGTGGCAGCAGTAGCTGCATCATCAATGGCCGCTGCAGTGATTGTTACTGCAGCACTGGAGGGGTGAGTACATCTTACCCTAATGCTTAGGAGTTCGCTCCAACTGTTGGTTGGTTAATATTCCTTGCATTGTTGTCTAGGCTTTGATGGCTTGCTCGTCTCCCGTCATCCTTCTCCGTATGTTGCTAGTCCTCCCCTCTTTCTGTGTCCCATCTCCTTGAATATGGTGCCTTCACCTTTCGCCCCTCTCCATCACCCATTCCTGTCTATGACAACAGTCGTGGGGAAAGCAGTGGCAGCAACAGCAGTGCTGCGTATTCTATATGGTAGGTGATGGGAGGTTCTGCAGGGGGGGAGTTGCTGGCCTTGCTATTGTACATTTCCCACTTAGTGCTTGCTGGCTCTTTTCCAGCTTGTAATTGGCTGTCTATTCTCTTTCAACCGCTCTACTCCATGTCCGATTGCCATCTTGCTGACAGTGGAAAAGTGGCTCTGTTGTGGTGATGTGCAGGAAAAGAGAGGATGTCACATGGCGTGCCGAATGGTGGTGAACCTCCACGAGCTCAAGATGGGCCGCTGCTGTCCTTAGCTATCTGTAGCTGTACTTAGCTTTGGTTTTATTTGATTAGATGTGCTTGCTTAGCTTTTCTTAGATGTGCTGTGGTTAGGTGTTGCGCTGTGCTGTGGTGGGTTGGATCTGCGGAACAGGTGGGAGGGGTGGGCACAGGGCAGGCAGCCTGGAAGGCACCTGAGCACAAACACCCAAGCAGGACAGATTCCTCCCGCACATGCTGTGGGTGGCATGATGCCTTGCCCCATGGTGTGCCGTGCGGTGGTTCTTATGAGGACTTGCCTTCTACAGGCCAAGCCCTCGTTCACGACGCTGAGTGAGAGTGAGGTGCAGCTGGCATGAGAGGTAAACGCTCACTGATGGGGTGCAAGTGACAGTGAGGAGGCACACACAAAACCCTCACACAAACGAGTGATAGCGGCAAGGCACATGCACACTGCGAGTATGAACATACAGTACGGTATTTTGTGTGAATTTGGCGGAAAGTGCTGCCTGTCAGGCTGCGTCAGAGACGGCTTGCATTTGATATAAACATTGCACCAACAATTATTGCCTCATAGCTCGGCCTCTTGATCCGTACAGCATCCGCTCGTCTTATCCCCATTTCATCCCCGCCACCCTCCCACTCACTCCAAGCCGTCGCGACAGTGACCTCACCAGCTGCTTCCCCTTCCCTCCCCATGCACCATGTGTATGCCCGGGTGGGGGCGCACATGATGGTGCTGGCAAGAGGGGCGGAGCAGAGGGGGTGACTCCTGGCCAATGGAATGGCAGCAAGCGTCGCCGCGCGAGCCAGAAGGCGAGAGTGAGGAAGAGAGCGGGGGAGGAGGCGAGGGAGTAGATGAGGAGGAAGGTGGGCCAGCTGTTGATGGTTTGCAGCACGAGACTGGCAGTGGATGCCACGATGGTGTTCACTCCAAACACTATGCCGTCATTGATGCCCTGCACCTGCACTCCGTATCCGGTCAGAGGCCAGGGGTGGGGGGAAGTGAAGATGCAGTCAGAGGAGGCAGGGGTCAGGAAGGCAGATAAGGAAAAACAGTTGGGGGGGATGGCAGTCTCACAAGCTCCCTTCAGCATGAAGTGTGTGCAAACAACAGACGATTGGGGAAAAGGGAAAGGAGGGCATGGATTGGGAGGGCGAAGCTAGAGGCGGACCATGTCTTTCTCGTGTGGGCGGTACGTGGTGGCGAGCAGGGCCGTGGCGCCCACAAAGGCGAGGTTCTAGCCGAGGCCCAGCAGGGCCAGGCAGAGGAAGAAGAGCGGCAGGGTGGTGCCTGCGAGCAGAGCGAGCTGCGAGGCGAGCAGCACCACGAATCCCAGCAGCATGGCGCCGTCACTGCCCAGCGCTGCTATGATGGCTGGCGTGAAGAAGGACGGCACAAACATGGCCTGCACCCGGGGGAGAGGGACACCGAGGGGACACACGGAGGAAGAGAAAAAGGGCAAGGGAATGGGCACAGGTGCTGATGGCAGGGCGGAAAGAGTGGAGGTGCGAGGTAGCTAGTGGTGAGAAGCCGTCGAGAGGTAGAGTAAGTGTGAGGGGAGGGTGCTGACCTCGACATGCACGAGAATGACGTTGCTGGTGTCGGCAAACGATATCACTGCCCCCAACTGGCCCTCTAGGTCCACATCGTCTGTGCCTGCACACACACACACATGTGCACACGCACACACACACACATGCGCACACGCACACACACACACATGCGCACACGCACACACACACACATTATCAATGCGAAGCATATGTGCCCAGAGTGACAAAGAGACTGTTGCACTGAGGAATGTGCAAGTGTGAGGTGCGAGCACGAGGCTCCCACGTCCCCTGGCAGCACAGCACGTGAGCGCACCTGGCTGCACGGCGAGCATGGCAATGACGGCAGTGAGCATGATGGTCGCCATGCCCGCATACGCCACCGTCGCTGCTGCCACCGCCACCACCACGCCTGGCTGTCGCATCACCTCATACCACCGCCTCCTGCCCTGCTCCTCCTCCCCTGCTCCTGTGCTCCCATTGCCCTCGCCGCCCCTCCCTGCACCCACCAGCACCATCACCGCCTCGCCGTCCTCCCGCCCCGCCCCTGCTTCCACTTCTTGCCCCACAATTTCCTTCCCATCACCATCACCATCACCATCACCATCAGCATCACCATCACCATCACCATCAGCATCATCATCGTCATCGCACCCATCTGCCATGCCCGTGCACCGTGCATCATCCCGCTCGCCCTGCATGCTGCCATGCACCTCTCCTCCCCCCTCCACCGCATGAACCCCGCTGCTACATGCATGCCCGTCACCCACCCTCCCTCCGCCCTTCTTTCGCCCCTCGGACACGGCACCAGCGCAGCACCACCCACCCGCCCTGCTTGCACCCACACTGTCCTGCTCGGCCTCACACCTGCTGTTGCTCTTGAGCTTGCCAACACTTCCTGCGCCTTCTCCGCCCTCTCCACTCTCTCGCCCATCCCATTCCCCCACAATCACCGCTCTCTCCCCCTCCTGCCGCCCTCCCTCCTCCTGACAGCCTCCATCCTCAACCCGACCCAAGCCGTCCCCAAGCCCACCCTCTTCCTTGTCTCCCCTCGCGCTCCCTGCACCATCACCAGTGCTACCACAGCTGTCCCCGCGCGTGCCGTGGTGGAGTGCGCGTGTGGCGCCCCCCCCATGGAGCGGGATGAGAGCGACGAGCAGCATCTCCAGGAGGAACAGTCCACACGACACCAGGTACGTCGCCAGGAACTCGTGGCCTGGGATCACGCCACGTGTCACGCAGCTGATGATGGGCCCCATGCCGCCGCCCACCACGCCCCCTGCCACCACGGCGGAGATCGCGGTAGGCAGGTGGGCGGCGGAGGGTGCGAAGCGCGCGGCTTCGAAGCGCAGGAAGTTGATGTACGCATTGGCGAGCCCCGCGAATAGCGCGCCCGCGCACAGCAGCGCCATGGGGGCGGGCTGCGTGGGGGGTGCGGGGGAGGCGGAGGAGGAGGAAGGGGAGTCGTGCGCGAGGGCAGCAGCGACCGCGAAGAGCGCGTTCCCCAGGACGCCCAGCGCGCCCCCCGCGATGAACGAGGGGCGCGCGGAACGCGATGCGCGGATGATCAGCTGCGCGGGGAGCGCCCAGAGAGCATGCGCCGCCGCTAACACGCCTGGGAGCGGGGGAAAGAGAGAGGGGACGGGGTGCGGGAGGGGCAGAAAGCAGTGAGCGAGCGGGTGAAGAGGGGAGAGCAGCGAGGTCCACCGCAACACGCGCTGATCGCGAGGATTCTATCACGCACGCCGTGAGCGGCGGAGACGCACCGTAAGGCACGGTGCTGAAGGCGGTGCCGCCCCACTGCCTGGCGGCGACGGTGGTGGTGGCGACCTGCACGAACAGCGCCGCCCACCCCAGCGCGAAGCACACCGCCAGCAGCGCAAGATTGCCCACGCCCGCCGCCGTCCATCGCGGGGAGCGCCGCACCGCAGCGCTGTCCAGCGCGACGCCGTCTTCGCGCGGCTCCGAGGCGGAAGGCGGCTTGAAGGGTCGCAGCGCGCGAAGAGGGTCTTCTGCCGGCTGCGGTGGTGCGTCGACCGCATCCGGCGGCGTGCGAGACGGCGAGCCCGCAGCCATGTGCTGAATTGCGGCCTCCAGGGGCCGCGGAACAACTACCGACGCCCGTCGGCGAGGGACAATTACGGAGTGCGAGGGGCTCGTGCTGCTGCTGACGTGGCTGGACGGGCGAGTGTGCACAAGCGCGTAGCTTGTGGGCGGCGCGCGCGGGCGTCACGGCGGGCAGTGCTGGGCGTCACGGCGGACGGCGAACGCGAGGACCTGCGGGGCGCATCGTGTGCGGCGGGGCACTCGACGATCAAGGCGTCGATGCGACGAAGCTACGAGGACGCCGTGCGACAATTCAAGCGACGATCCGTGGGGTGTGCTGGCCGCGATGCCTGCCGGTGGTGTGGGTGTCTGTGTCTGTGCCTGTGGGACACGAGGCTGGGTGGCACCATGGCCATGGGCGCTAGTGCCACATGTGTGGTGTCGGTGGATGCCCATGCTGATGCAATGCAACCCGTGAAGACATTTTGGGTTCGGTTACATTTGGCAGGTTGGGGCGGTGCAAACAGCTGCCTTTTCATTCATCCCACATCTCCCTCCAAACGTTCACATCACCCCACGCTCTCGCTCGCCTTGCCAGCATTGCCCCACTGCGCGAGTGCGGCTGATTTTCCGCTCTCGTGTCGCCGCCTGTCGCGCGCACAGCGTGCTGTCCGCAGCGCCAACCATGGCCGCCTCGCACCTGCTCGCGCCACCCACCACCATCGTCCCTGGCGCGCTCTCCGCGCGCTTGCGCCCCGCCGATCTTCCCCATATGCGCGCCACTGCCCTCTTCCCTCTATCCCGCCCCGCCGCTCTCGCCCCTTTGGGAGTTTCCCCTCGAGCGCCACAGCCCGTGCGCGCAGCATCAGCGGATCTCCCCGCGCCAGCTCCCCTCAGCAGCGCTCCCGCCCTGAGCGACCGCCGCTCGCTGCTAATCGGCGCTCTCGCCGCAGCTTCCGCCGCAAGTCTCGGCGCGGCCGGCGCGGCGCAGGCGGCGGAGTGCGAGCTGCAGGAGACGCCGTCGGGGCTGCAGTTCTGCGACCAGGTGGAGGGCGCGGGCGACGAGGCCAGCGCCGGCACGCGCATCCAGGTGTGCCTCCATGGGCGGGGATGCTGGCACGCGCACTAAGAAGATGCGTGCGGCGTCTCTGCGATGCAGGCAAAGAGGAGGCTTGGCACAAGTCACCGATTCGTGTGATCGTGTCGCAATGTTTCGTACAACACACACGCTAACGGCATTGCCCGTGCTTCTGCCAACAACCCGTCCCGTCCCCCCTTGTGCCCTGCAACCGTGTCCCTTTAGGCGCACTACGCGGGGCGGCTGCTGTCAGGCGTGGTGTTCGACAGCAGCTACGACCGCGGGCGCCCGCTGGTGTTCCGCGTGGGCGTGGGGCAGGTCAGTGCCCTGCACAGCACACCCAATCATTGCATGACCACTCTTGCTTCTCCCACCCATACTGTGCTGCCCTGGCCTCTCTCCTACTGTGCGGTAGCGCCGTGTGCACCCACCTCTTACCCCGCCGCCTCCCTTCCTCTCTGTGGCTGCGTTGGTGGTGTGTGTGAGTGTGGTGCGGCAGGTGATTCGAGGGTGGGACCTGGGCATTCTGGGCGGACCAGGCATCCCGCCCATGAAAGCAGGTTAGTCAACCCCATCCCCTCCCCCTCATCGGTTTGCCCTGCTCTCATCTCTCTCTCGCACTCTCTCTCCTTCTCTCTTCCCGTCACTCATTGAAGCTGCCCTGTGCCATGCTGTGCACGTGTCTGTGTCTGTGTGTGTGGCAGGGGGCAAGCGCACACTGCGCATCCCAGCGGACCTCGCCTATGGTAGCAGAGGGGCAGGATGCAGGGGAGGTGAGCTGCCTCCCTCATGCACTAAATGCTTGCCTCTTATGCGTCTGCTCTGCACCTCCTGTGCGTCACAACTTCATTCCAAACCACGACACCTATCGCCACACCTTTCCTTCACCTCATTGCTCCCAGTTATCTCATGTGACACTTACTTCACTCCTATTCTCCTTCCTCGTGCCCCTACTCTCTCACGCGCACGGCCCCCATGCTGCGTGTGAGCATCAGGCGTGTGTCGCATCCCCCCGGGGTCGGACCTCATATTTGACGTGGAGTACCTGGGTACTGCATAGCGCCTCCGCCCCGTGCACACGCCCGCTTGCCCGCCCTCTCCTCCGCACACCTGCAATGTTGCATGGGTGTGGATGAAGCACGGGCTACTACTATGCCTTCGATGCATGCTTATCTTAGTGCGACTGATTAGTATCTGAAGGGGTTTCATCTGGAGCTCAATATGTAAGGCAATGAATACGTAGTGTGTACTCCAGCGTTAGGAATTTCAAACTCATGGCCATACGTTTGTGTGTAAAGTACCCGCAAACAGCATGCACTTGACCAATAACCCACTGTTTACTGTAACATGGCTTCAGGGCTCTCAGTCTTTCCAAGCTACCTACGGTACCTATCATACATCTAAGATGAATTTCATATACCCGGCACTAGCAGAGTGGTTTAAAAAGCAGTCAGTGGATCATTGACTGATGGCAGCATCTTTGCACACCTTCCCTCGCTCACTCCCACACAGCGGTGTCATCATCGTCCTTGTTTGCCTTCTTTCTGCCCTCCAGCCCTTCTTTAATATGCCTTCCCACGGCACTGCACTACTCTTCTTCTCACCGCCCTCCTTGCCCTCCTCTTTCTTCTCCGCTGCGCCATCAGCGCTCCTCTTCACTGGTCGCAAACCTTGCCCTACTCGTCTCAATCGCAGCCTGCAGCTGGTCTGTGCTCAGCCCTCCCCGCCCCCCTGGCCCCCCCGCCACCCCTCCTCAACCCTGACCTCAGAGTGGGCATGTTCCCTGCGCCCTCCTCCTTCTTCTCGCCCAGGGGCCTCATCCTCACGGCCCCGCCCTCAGCCCTTCGTCTGGCAGCAGCGGCAGCAGCAGCGGCCAGGTCACCAGGAGCAGGTCCAGCAGGCCCGCCAGCCTTGGGCTTCATACCCTTCTTGATTAGCAACGGCGCTGCCTTGCCTCCAAGCTTGCCGGGTGGGGGTGGGGGCGGAGGAGGTGCTTTCTTGGGCGGTGGAGGGGGTGGTGGGGGCTTCTTGGGTGGAGGGGCAGGTGGGGCGGCAGGAGGGGCGAATGCGCCTGCTGCACGGAAGATTTCCTGGATGTCAAGACCCTCCGCCTGATGCATTCCCACACATGCACAGCGACGATGAGGGAGGAAGAAATCAGAGAAGCGTGTGAGATTCCGTCGAGTTTAAGTGCAAGGATGAATGGAGAAGCACAGGTGAGTGCAGCCTGAGTGAGGGCTTCTGAGTGCATGTGGCTACTGCATTCATGTGCGGCATGCACGTGTGCACGAGCTCACCTTGCCCGACGCCAGCTGCTTCAGGATCTCTTGTGTTGCCAGCCCAATGGCCGCTGGGTTGGAGCCTGCGGCCTTGGCCACTTGTGCGAAGATGTCCTGCACATCATGCAAACAACCGAACCACGAGCAGCGCCATCATGAGGAATGCCAAGTGGGATGCGCTGATGCATGGTGTGCAAGAGACAGGCGGTCGCTGCTAAGGGTTGGATGGTGCTGCTCGACAGGACGCAATGTGGCAACACAAAAGTGGTGGGTGCACAAGAGGGAGTGCGTGCGTCACATCTCTCACCTGCAGCAGCTTCTCACTGATGCCATTCCCCCCTGCCCCTGCACTTGCACCACCGCTCACACTGCTCGCCTGGGACCCCCCACCTTCCGCCGCAGTTGTGGCAGCAGCAGCAGCAGCAGCAGCCGCTGCAGCAGCTGCAGCAGTTATGGCAGCAGCAGCAGCAGTGGCGTCAGGAGGCGGCAGCGCAGGCAGGGCAGGAGCAGGCGGAGCGGGCAGAGCCGGCAGAGCGGGCGGGGCGTGGAGGTTGGAGATGGAGACGAAGGGGTGGGCGAGGAGCTGGGGAATGGTGAGGCGGTGGGCGGGGTTGCGCACAAGGCAGCGCTTCATGGTGTCCAGCAGATGGGGGTTGGCCACTGGGGGGAAGTCAATGGTGCACGACTCGTCACAGATGGCCTGCCGTGCTCCACACACCGCACCACACATACACAGCAGAGGGGGGAGGGTGAAGGTACAGATGCATCAGCCTGGTGCATGCGTCTGGCACGTGCAGCATGGCATGGCATGCGTGCGTGATTGATGCGTGGGTGGCGGGAACAATACGGGCATGGCAGCATGGCATGGCATGTGTGCGTGATTGATGCGTAGGTGGAGGAGTCACCTTGAGCTTGCCCCAGCCGGGGATGTGCTGGAAGGGCGTGCGGCCGTACACCATGAGGTAGAGGATGCACCCCAGCGACCAGATATCCGCTGCACGCCCCATCTTCACCGTGGGCCTCGTGGCGGCCTCGGCGTCCGCGTCCGTGTCTTGCCCCATGATGGACTCGGGTGACATGTAGCTCACCGTGCCCGCCTGCACGAGCACAGCACACCACAGCGCAGAACCATGGTGAGATGGAGGGCCAGCACTATAGCTGCATCAGTGGGGCAGTGAGTGCTGGAATGAAGGGTGGAAGCAGCTTCTAAGGGAGAGTGTGTGCTTCACATGGGATGGTGGGTAGAGGGAGAGAAGTGGGGAGCGGGACTGACACAGCCATGGCGGGAGATGTGGGCGGTGTGGTTGGGGATGTCCTTGGCGATGCCGAAGTCGATGAGCTTGAGGTCGCCCTCGATGATGAGGAAGTTGGCGGGCTTCAGGTCCGCGGTGCACTATGCGCGCCGCGTGGATCGTCTGCACCGCCCTCAGCATGTCCTGCACGCACAACCATGCACACACACACCTCTTCTGTGTACGTGTAGTCGTAAGGGAATGTGCATTGCCGAGCCAACGGACATGTGTGTGTGTGCCCGCGTGTGTGAGTGAGTGGGTGTGTATGTGCATGTGTGAGTGCGCCTGTGTGTGTGTGTGTGTGCGAGGGTGCGCGCGCACTAGCAGCGTACCTGCCAGAAGTGTCGCAGAACGGTTTCGTCGATCTTGCATCCGGTGGCGAGCACGGCGGGGGCGGCGTGCGGAAGGTCGGACTCCCTGTGCAGCTTGGCGAGCTTCTTCGCCAGGTCGATCTCGCCGAACTCTAGCAGCAGGTAGATCGCCTGCTCGCCCTCGCACACCTGCACGCTCACGCACGAGTCCAGGGCACGGGGACAACAAATGAGAACCCCTGGCGCCGCGCAACCTGGAATATTGCGGAGGCGCATGGCAGCGCTACCCGACAGCAGCACCACACGTGGCCATGGTGCCCTTCACACTTCCCCCAGCCAACCCACACACACGCGCCCCCCCATAGCCCTCGTCCCGGCGCTCACAGCGGAGTCGAAGAGGTGGATGATGCCCCTGTGGCCGCGCAGGCGCGTCAGGATGGAGATCTCCTGCCTGAACTCCTCCATCGCGCCGCCCTCCGCGCGGATGCGCTTCAGCGCGAACTCCTGCCCGTCGCGTGCCACCACCTTGAACACCTCGGAGCTGCCGCCCTTGCCCGCCACCTCACCTGCTGTTACACCGCCCGTTCAGCACACCCCGCCCTTCCTCCGCCCTCACCGCTCCGCCCCTCGCATCGCGCTCCCCGTCCCCTCCCCC